GCACGATGGACATGAGTCTGTGTAGCAGAGCACTGGGGCGGGGGCGGGGAACCAAGGAAAGATTTTGTTTATGTAACCCCTCAGTGCTCCACTGGCCTTTGTCATCTTTGGGTAATTATTTCAAATTTTACTAATATTAGGGCGAAAAAAAAAGTGGAAAACTCATTGTTGCTGGAGGGATTTCCTTAAGAGTCAGCAGATGGCCTAACAACCAAGTTGGTTATTTGCTAATTATCTGTGTCAGTCTCTTTCCCATTTTGTATAACAGGGGCTCATCTGTTTAATACAAGCAGAGATATGTACATAGGTCCTCTTTGAAAGTCTCTCTCTCAGCTAGCTCTTTGTAGACGGGCAAAGCAGTCCCAACCAACAGATTGTGAGTGAAAGGAAGTACCAATGAGCACCATTAACATTCTCACTTAGAACTAGCACCGCCTTCCAGGTCCTTGAAATGGACGACTAGAAGGAAATACAGTTGCCTATTGTAGAAGTCACATTGTGGTTACTAACAAGTCAGTGGGTACAAAATATGGGTCTCCAAATCGTGTCCTCCTCTTGCTTTCTAGCTACTATGCTTCCCACTAAATTATCATTATATAGTGGTGACATTCTTTTGTAATATTGAATTAATTTATTCATTATATGAGTGTGGAAGCTTTGTCTGCTTGTCTGTCTGAGTGCCACATACATGTTTCTGCCAATAGAGGCCAGAAGAGGGTGTCAGATCCCTTGATACTAGAACTACAGATGGTTCTGAGCCACCATGTGAGTCCTGGGAATTGAACCTGTACCCTCTGCAAGAACTAAAAGGGCTCTTCACCACCGAGCCATCTGTCCAGACAGGCTGACAGTCTTAAAACACAACCATTCTCATTTTAATACTAACTGCACCTACTCCATTTTGCTTCAAGTTCTATTTTGAATTTAATTCAACCTTTTTAAAAACTGATACACAAAGAGCATGCATCATGAAATCAATTAACACAATATTTTATATATATATGCCTTTCACAATTAACATTTTTCAATGAGACTTTAAAGGTAAGATATCAGGGATGACCGGAGCAAAGTAGTGTTTTCTGGAGAGGACAGCTCTGCTATATTCATGAGCTCACAACAGCTATGGTTGCCTGCACAAGGTCAAGCCAATCATCATTTCCAACATGGCATGAGAAGGGGTTCAAGAACTCTCACCCTTAACTGAGGATCTATGGACAGCTGATGGCTTCTGGAAGGACAGACATCTGCTTTCTTTAATAATTTGGCTCCTGTAGGAACCACACTAGATTGGATGACCCCCACACCAAGAAGAATATCAACAACACAAATTGAAATGGATGAGTTATTAAAGTTAACAAAAAAAGACATGAAGTTAGAGAAGTACAGAGATGGAGGTAGATATAGGAGGAATTATGGGGAAGAGATGGAGAGAGTATGACCAAAACATATTGATTGAAATTCTCAAAGAAAAAAACATATTTATTAAAATGTGAAAAACAAAGATTCAACGTTTCCACCTAGCCCTTTAGAAATATTCAGTACATATTGTACTCGCTCCACTCTTCAGCCGCATGCCAGAACTCTGTAGAATGTTCCATCACCCACCTTTCCCACCTCCCCACACTTCCCAATGGCTATTACCTATCCTTTACCCAATGCCTGTGATCCCAGCTTGTCAACATCCCACATGAGCCTGGATCATTGCACTTAACACCTGACCTCCAGTTCTATGCATGTTGTCTCAACTGACAGGATCCATTTTCTCTACTATCAACTTACGGCTGGGTAAAGAAAGTGTGGTGTATGAACACAAAGTAATGCTTCCTCCTCTTAGTGACTCTAACTCTATAAATCTATACAACTTTCAGAAAAAGAAGTAGTACAATGAAAGTACTTGGAATGAGATGTGTATAATGATTTCTTGATCATGAACTTCTCTCCAGAATAAAATAATAAACAGCACATGAATAAATGTTAGCACACTTTCAAAACTGCATTATAATTACATATTTATAGATGTCTGAAATAAGTCACCTTTTCAAACACTGATGCTTAGTGTTCATAAAATATTTCTGGGCTAAGAGTGGTGACACACGCCTGTAATGGTAGCACTGGAGAAGGCAGAGGCTGGTGGAACTGTTTGAGTTCAAGGCTAACCTGGGCTGCAAAGCAAGTCGAGGACAGCCAAAGCTATGCATAAAACCTTTGTCTCAAAAGAAAAAAAAATTCTGGTTCACCAATTGGATGATGGAGAGTTTATTGGAAGAAACCAGCTAAGCTCTACACGTGCTGAATATACAACTCTATTTCAATGTAGTTCTAAAAGAAAATGGATTAGCAGTCTGAGTAACGGCAAAAATTATACTGACTGACCATGGAAATAAAAAGAAGAATGAACAGAAATTGGGAGCAAGTGAGGTACCACACAAGTGTGAAGACCTGAGTTTGGTTCACAGAAACGCCAGTTAAAAAGCCATGTATGATAGCATGCACCTGTAACCTCAGCAGTAGGGACATAAAGACAGGAATAAGTTTGGAGCTTCGGGGCCAGCCCCACCCCACATACACCCACACTAAAACCAGAACTCTAAGTGGCTGAGATGCCGGAAAAGAGCACATCAGCAGAAGTCAGGCTACTGTTGTTATGTGACCATAGGGGAGCTTTGGAGCATGGCATTATGGAGACAACAGGGAGGCGGAGAAGAATGGGAGACAAGCAGAGAAGGATGGAAACAGCAGGGTCACCACGGTGAGGACCATGAGGAGAAGTTCAAGATCAGAGACGTTCTATTCAAAAAGGACCCAGACAAGGCAGGTATCCACAGCACCTAGAGAAAGAAAAGCCTGATCTTTCATCTGTTTAGCTTTTGCTTACATTTCTCTTTGTCTGATTTGACTTAATGCACAGAACACTCAGAGAACCATAGTCAGGTTTGTGAAGAATGTCAACACACCTGGCTGATACTGGTACATCAAACCTTCATCAATTGGAGCTGATTTTGCTTCAGAGTTTCGTCCAAAATTAGAAAAGTTGTTATAAAGAGGTGACACTCAGTGTATGCACAACTCAGAATGAACAATTCAACTTTACCAGAAGATAATTAGTCAAAACATATAGCGTCAGACCTGTTGGATTCCTTTTGCCATTGAGAAAGCAGAATGCAGAATCATGTTAATTCCCTATGCAGGCAGGAGACTGTATCCAGATTAGACAAGTGTTTAAAAGGAAATATTTTTCAAGGAGAGAGCACAAAACCACTTTCGGAAAGCAAAATCTCAACAGACAGCAAATCTGGGAGGCTGCTCAAGGGAAAAGCCACAGAAGGAGCAACTGTGTCCCCTGTCAGCCTGGCTCCCTCAGCGTTCTCACTTGCCAGGACCCTCGCTCCTGGCACCAAGTTCAAGAAGGTTCTTGGATCATTTTGGGTGCCCTGGCGTCTCTGGTCATGCTGAATTATCTCATGGGTAGACATCTTGTCCAGAGGGAGCAAATTAGAATGTCCTCTCCCCACTTGGACCTCTAAAGAGGTGGTCTGTAAGTCCATCTGCACGCAAGCTGAATCACAGGCAAGAGCAGGAACACATGGCCAAACATCCGTGGGGGAGAAGAGGGGAGCACGGAGCTGCCTTTGGGAGGGGAGCGGAGATGAGAGTATCGATGTTCTAGTTGGGGGGCAGGGGAGAGTTGCTATTTATTTTGACTGCAGCCTAGCTTCTTAAAGTGACATTGTCTACATTCACCCATATAGTCCAGTGAGTTTTGACAAACCGGTAGTTATGCAGCTACTTGTACAATCAAAACTAAACTATACTTGCTTATCTGAACCTCTCTTGGTGTCTCATTCTAGTCCATCTCTTTCCACGAGGCCCAGCTTTCAGGAGCCCCTAATTGTAGCTTTGTTCTAATAATTTTGTGTTTTTCTGATTTTCATAATCACAGGGTCCCACTTTAAGCAGCTCTATCAGTTTTGTTTCTCTCCCGGAGCCCCTCCCCCAATTTTTCTGAATGTCATTCTGGAATAAGAACACTAAATTTGCATCGTCTCCACCCCCTCTCTTCCTTCACCTTATGTTGTCCCCAAACCCCGCCTGAATTCCCGATCTCTCTTTGATTGCTAGGCAAGACGTCCCCAGCGGTGAAATGGCGGCACTTCCATATTGGGAATCACCTACAGTCACCTTCCTGGACCTGAGGACAGATCAATGGGAGGACACTCCTGCCTGTTCCTGTCAACCTAACCAAGGACCAATGGCTGCAGCGTCAAAGGCCCCCAAAGATGTTCCCCAACTTCTGCCGTTTTCCTAAATCAATATAGTGCCAGCTGAACTCTAACTACTGATACTTAAAATATGAGCAGTCTATTATAAAGTATTACTTCAATTAAAATTATAAAAAGGCAAGGGTCTTTACTTCCATCAGGAAACAATTGAAAAGATGGGTTTCTATACAGCGAGATCAGTTAAGCATCTGACTTTTATTATATAATGACATTTTATATAACCATCATATTACATGATGACATTTAAATGATGTAATTTACTATATGATGACATTTAAAAATAGTTCCTAATGTGTTCTTATGATGCCAGAAGTTACATCCCTTTTCTTAATAATACTCTACCAGCCATCACTGAGAAATTTGGTCCATCATCTAGATATTTGATATGGTACAGTTAATTAGGGCAAACTCCCTTCTTTTTAGAACATAAAATGATTATCCCTTTTCTCAAGTACATATCTTTTAATTGATTGAAATGCACTCACTTTAAGGTAAGAAATGATAATATGTCTCTCCCAGGAAGTAGGTCTGATTCATCTAGTGTCCCCCTTCCCCACAAACAGCGAATGCACAGACAAAGGAGTCTTAGGCAGGTCAAATAGCTGTTTGGATGACACTGATGCAGCAATGATGTCGAGGAACACTGTTTAGAAGCTGCCACCAGATGCAAAGGGGCTGCCTGCCGTCACTGCTCTACAAAGGACCCAGCGCCTCCCTTACCTGGCTGACACTGCTCACACCTTCTTCCTTGTCGATGAGGTAGACATAGACACTGGCCACTGACAGGGTCACAAACGCTTCCAGGTAATGTCCCGAGGGGGTCACACTCACACTCCTGGCACCCTTGAAGCTGGCCCATGGTCAGATTGAAGCTGTGAGGCTCACACTGATTGCAGCGCAAACTTGTCACTCCTAGTTTGCAAGGACACTGCCCAGTTGATTTGTCACACAAGAGAGAGCCATTGACTGTCCCAGTCTTCTCACAGTTGCAGGGCACGCAGAGCAAGGAATCATCCTGACGCAGGGTGAAGAACCCCTCCAAACACTGATTGCATTGTCTGCCTCCCACGTTGGGCTTACACACGCACTGCCCGGTGTCCCTGTCACAGATGGTCCCAGCCTGGGAGCCAGCCGCGCTGCAGTTGCAGGCCTGACAAGTACTCCAGGGCAACCCGAAAAAGTTTTCTCTGCAAGTGTCACACTTCAGTCCTCTGGCTTCCTCCTTGCACACGCACTGCCCCGAAAGCGGATTGCAGCTCTGGTTGACGGAGCCGTGGAGGTTACACTGGCAGGCCTCACAGCCAACAGCGTTAGAACTCTGGAGAAATTTAAATCCAAAGTTGCAGCGAGTGCATCTGAGGCCTGGAAACAAAACACGTTTTGAAAAGGTGAGAGAGGGATGGCACCACTCAAGATGGGTGAAGATGAAACATTTCGCACAGATCCAGAGTACAAACGGTACCACTCTGGGATGGCTGTTTATGTAAAAACACAGTGGCATTACTAATTTAGCTCTAATATGCGAGGTGTAAGCAGTGTGCTTTGCAGGATTTGATTGCTAATCGATGCATCACACACACACACACAAAGGCAGAATACACATATGACTTCTGCCGTATGCATGGGGACTCTCCCCCCACTTTCACAAATATCAAAACTATTTAGTAAAATAGATTTTGAAATATAAAAACGCACATGGCCACTCAGGCTACATTTCTAAAACTCAAAATGGCCTGAAAAGAATGTGTCTAGAAGGTCAAGCAGAGTGCAAAGTACCAGACAGACAGAATACAGAGATTCTGGAGCTCAATTCTCTAGCATGGTGGCTGGAGTTTCAAAGGTAGACTGTGTTAAAGTACATGCTTAAAAACTGGGAAAGGAATAAATCTTATGTTTCACTACAAATATGTTAAGCATATGGACAGTAGATACACCAATTAGCCTCAAGCAATCCCTTCACAAATTGTCCACATGCCATGTTGTATCCCATAAATATATCAAATTTGTGTTTGTTTACTATACCTTTAAAAATGGGGGAGAAGGAAAAATAAAGCATTCCTATCTTTGTGACAGGAACATGCACGCTTACTTTCAGCTGTTGAAAATTGAATAATTGACATAAATACAACTTATCCAGAACAATTTTTATTCTAATTCTTTGTATGCACCTATATTTTATCATCTTCAATTAATATAAATTATGCTTGCCTTGCCTCATAAGGCACTCGCATTGCTTGTCAAATCACGTGATTCAAAACACACCTGTCCTAGCACGAAATGATCTCAGATCCTTACGTTATTGTTTCTTTTTAGAGGAGCACATAAACACATTCACAAATGAAAAAGAATGTTTTGTCACCTAAACTGAAACTTCTGACAACTTGGGTTTGTCTCAAGAAAGACATTGCCAAGAAAAATAATTTTTAAAAAAATGCACCTGTGATGGTTAGGAGAAAATATCTTCCCTTACAGTGTAAATACCTGATAACAGGCATCGAGTCAGTTGAGACGTCTATTTCAAATTATAATTGTAATAAAAAATAGTCCTAAAACGGGAGGCGAATACATACTAAGGCACTACTATGGAGAACTGCAGCCCTAAGCTGGAAGAAAATGCATATTGTGTGTGTATATGGGCAAAAAATTCATTCACACTCCAACAGAAGGCAAGTTCTTTAACAGAGATGAATGGCTCACCTAAGGCATATCATTTAATTTCAATAAGGAAAATAAAAAAGGACCACGATTGCTGCAAATTTTAAAAATAACTGTATTGTTAACAAGAATTATGACTCATTTTGAACTATTAAAATCGGTCTACATGGATTCATATCAGATCGGTTTTAAAAATATGCACAGTGCTTATTTGAATATGCCATACATATTCCTGACAGGTAATCTATTCCTAACGATACTCAGGGAGGCCTACAGGGCATCACACTCAGAGCTAACAAGTGCAGGCGAGTTAGCACACTTGGCATTTAATTCACATTCTTCTCGCTTTTTATTCTAGATGAATGACCTACTTTAATAAAATTATTGGTGGTAATGTATTTCACTGGTGATAGAATCATTAGTAAGATTTAACAGTTTTGTTAACTCAAACAGTTTGCCTTCTGAAACATATACAACACACCCTTGTGTTTTCAGGGGGTTTGTTTGTTCCTATTAACGAGGTAATCTTCAACAAGGATGGTTGCTAAATTTTTTATGAAAATATATATTCATGTCAAGTTCGTGTTTTTATTAAAAGTATTTCACTTGCAGAGATTACTCTAGAAATCACTATTTATAATATTGTTAAAGTGAAGATTTAATCTTCCCAAAATACATATTTATATTTTCCTGCAGAACACTACTTGTAGTAACCAATAAAATGTGTGAATGGCAACAGTAAATGGCAAAGATCGTGATGAATCTTAGGTAATTAATTTTTTTCCAAGCTATGGGATGACAGTGAACTGGAGACGCCCTTACTACACGCTCTATAAAGGCCTGGATTTAACTTGTGTTTCCATATTCTGAATTTAAAACATGTCTCAAACCCAAGAACAAAGAAAGCCATATGGAAGGAATTCTACAAGCAACTCCTCGCTCGTACAGAGTCAAGCTGCCCTCCACAAGTCAGCCAGACTTTGTTTTCAAAAGTTAGTGTTTGTGTTCTCGCCATGAAGAAAGGTGAGAGCAATGTGATGCCCTTGTACATCCTTCCTTAAACCAGAGGAAGCATGTGTGATGTCATCAGACCCATCCATCATCTTTTAATTCATTAAAATGTTTATTTCCCAGAGCTGTGGAGTTTTGTAAGTGTATGAGTGAACAAAATAGATTGGTTTATGTCACACAAAAATATATCATTCAGAATTACATGCAAATACATACGTGTGGGGGGTGTGTGTGTGTGTGCGTGTATGTGTGGTACAGATATTACTGCCAGGCATTTTTATTATTTTGAAGTTCAGGTCAGTGTCAGTAAAACCACACAGGACTTGGTGTCTTGGATGACAATAGAAATACCAAGGTCTTTTTAAAACTTCCCACAGAAACCAGACCATGCTCAGTTAGAACACAGGGTGCACCCGTCAGAAAACTTTCCCCTCATAATATTCTCATACATCAAAATTTCAAAGTGCATTATGTACGCGGTGCATTTTGAGCACTTGATAAATTTTGTCCTTATGTGGCACTGGTTCCCCTCAAAAGCGCTGGGTGTAATAAATTGCTATAATCAAATCTAATTTCTGAAAAATACCTGTGGGAGTAACAAACAAAAAAGCATGTCTTGTATAAAAAAATGATAAATAACACTAAAGCTAGCTGTTTATTATAATCAGCTTGGTACAGAATTACAAAATTAAAATTATGTGACCCTTTATAAGGAACTCTAGCAATAAACATGATGTGTGGAATGATGTTGACTTGCTTTGCATTTCATAGGGACAGTTCAAAGAAATATAATAGAAAAAATGGAAAGATTTATCACAAAGTACCCTTTAGCACAGAATGTTTTCAAAAAAATCCATTTATTTTAGTCTATTAAAACTAGCAGGGAAATGATTTGCTTAGAACTCATTAAGTGTAAAACATTTTGAAAAAGTGCTAATTTTCTAAAAGAAACATCTATGCAGCAGGCAAATTATATTTTTCTATGACTTATTAGTTGAGTCCATGTAACTAATGCATCTCCTAAATATAGAAACTTCTAAAGGGTTGATTAAACTAAACTTCAAACTATAGCTTGATAGAATTATTAATTTAGTCATTTTTAGACAGTTCATTTCACCCGAACTGTTTCTCCAAGGCTTGAGCAAGAAACTGTTTTACCCTTCAGTTAAGAAATCAAATAGAGGCTTTTTTTTTTCCCCAGGTAGAAACAAAGACTGACTGTAAACTTCTGCATCACACGTACCAATAACGTTGGCTTTGCACAGGCACTGGCCTGAATTTTGGTGACAGGTAATGTCTCCATCCACAGTCCCAGAGGGATTGCAGCTACAGGGACGGCAGCCATCAGCGTCCAGCGCCTGCAGGTCATAGAATCCATCCTGGCAACGAAGACACTGCCTGCCAGACACGTGTCTCTTACAATCACACTGGCCTCCAATCTACAGGAGATACAATATTTTGTAGGATGAGGAACATATCTATTTTTAGATAATTTGCTCATTAGATACAAGACAGGGAAGGAAGGAGCAAAAAAAAAAAATCTTGAAATGTTAAACAGGCAAGAAGGTGGTCAGGTTGTGCCCCTCACAGCAGAAAACATGGAAAGCTTTAGCAGGAAGGAAATTTAGATGTGAATGAAAATAGAGCCCTGGAAGTCAGTTGTATATGACTAAAAGGGAAATGGGGAATTAAGCATTTAAGAACTATATAAAGAAATCAGAATATAGACATGTGAGTCCTGAAAATAGAAAAGAGCCAGGAGCTAATTTAATCTTCATAACCCCAGCTTAGTATCACCCCTTTCATTTACTGTGTAGTTGGTCCAAATCTGTTTTGAGCATGTAGGTGTTTAAATTAAGAAAAATCTCCCATGATGAGATAGTCCCATTAAGTGTGACTGTTATTAACGTCCTTTGGGCATCTGAGCACAGATAACCACAGAGGCGGGAGCCATTGGATCTCTCTGGTTTTAGAGTTATAGGAAGTTGTGAGTCACCTAATATAGGTTCTGGGAACTGAACTTGGCTTAACTAGGAAGACATCTCTCCAGCCCCAGTTTTAGTATATTAACCAGCAACCATTCTCATCTACAACACTGATGGCCACAACTTACTTCCCATCTCTATTTCCCTGTCAAACAGGCTGAGGGAAAAGTAGATTAATCTCTACAATGAGGTGTCCTAAAAATATTGAGACTTCTAGTATTAGGAAAACTGACAGATAAAATGGCAGGACAGATAACAAAAACAACAACAGAACACATCCTCCTATTTCAGGCTATGGTCATTTTCCTGCTCTTCAAGACTTAAAACTCTAGATCAGCTTTGATCTTGCCTGAATCATAGTTTGGTATTGAACACTTTTAGACAAATTTATAAAATAAAAATTAGTGCCTGCTCACAAATTCTGGCTCAAATTTGAAGCAACTTGGATATTTTCTTTCTTTTTTTATTACAATTTATTCACTTTGTATCTCCTCTGAAGCCCCCTCCCCATCTCTTCCCAGTCTCACCCACTCTCCCTCCCTCTTCTCCCCGTATGTTCCTTCCCTAGTCCACTGACCCTAGCCTATCAGGTCTTATCAATGCTGACCTTTTATCTCTGGGTTATTTAGAAGTGGGTCAGTTTGAGGTATTCTGTGTTATTTCTGAATATCTTGCTGATTTCAAATTTAACTGATTAGTTAATACACTACGTATGACTCAAATAATTTACTGATTACTGAGGTGCTTTATGGCCCAGAATTTAGTCTATTTTGCTAGACGTTTTCTATAGACTTCAAAAATACACTGCAACACTGAGTGTTGTTGTTGGACTGAGTCCTCAGTCAATGTCAATGAGGTCAACGTTGTTGATAGTGTTGCTGAAATCTATATGCTTACTGATTTTCTGTCCATTTGTTTTTTCTGGTTATTGAAGACAGGGGTATTGATGCCTTTGCATGAAATTTGGGATTTTTCTATTTTTCCATTCAGTTCTATTGATGTTTGCTTTCTATATATAGTTATTTTGTTTAGCTCACAGATGTTAAAACTATATATACAAGCTTGAAGTTTTGAACCCAAATAAGAGAGAACTCGCAGGAAGCTTGGCAGTGGTAAACTCTACTTGTAACTCCAAGGGATAGGAATGAGTGAATCAAGCTCTCACACAATGTCTCATCAACCTATGAATTTGATTTTGAAGGCATCCAAACCAGAATCCTAAATCATCGACTACCCTGTCTGCATAACACTTTTTTGGAAGGAAAATTCTGGACAGTAATAGAATTTACATAGTAAAGGAAATAAGAAGAGCACAGAGCAACCTGGGGTGTCTAAGAAGAAGGTAAGAGTATGAGGAGGGTGTGAACTGGCTCCTTTAGAGATTAACAAATTAACGTAAAATTTGCCTATGAGGAGTTTAGAAGGACTTATTTTTTCCCCAAGGAAATAGAGACAACAAGTTTTGAGCACTGTTTGAGAAGTTCACATTTAAACATCTGTGGTAAAAATGTAAAGGTGTTTTGGTTGTGGTGGCTCATGCCTGTACTTTCAACATCTGGAGGCTGAGACAGCCAACACCTGGAACTCTTCCTCAGGTCTCCACATAGCTTTCTCCTTTAGGTCTATGCCAGCTGTGACCCCGGCAGCAAGACCTGTGCTGGCTGCATGTGTAACATCAAAATACTCCTCCTTACAATGACAGTTCTGAGCCAGGTTCCTTGTCTGGCTTTTCTCATAGTACTGAGTTTGGTGAATAAGCCCACAGCCACTTATTTCTATGCCTGTTGATTACTTTCTGCCTCCTTCCCACGGCATGGCACAGTGGAAGCATTACAACCACATATGTAATTGTTGTTTGACCATTTCTGAGAATATCCTCATCGTGTGTGTGTGTGTGTGTGTGTGTGTGTGTGTGTGTGTGTGATATGCATCTATTTACCACTTGAGATGGGAGGATTCTCACTGAACCTGGAGCTAGGCTGATGGCAATCAAGCTCCAGCAATTCTCCTGTTCCCCACCATTACCACCCCAACATACACACACAAACACACCCTCACACCTGTGTATCACTGAGCTTCTCCTTCATCGTTCATCTTCCTTTTGCAAAAGAAGCTAAAATTTAGGATGATCATGTGGCTTCCAGAAAGCCAGTAAGAGAAGACCCTTCCCATCTGAAGCTGTGCTCATAGTCACTGTTCTCAATTTACCCGAAGCTAAGCTGCAAGGCTAGCAACTGCAACAGGAAGGGTGTTAGAACCACGGAAGCTTCACAGCACAGTTTACACCTGTCAGGAGCAGACAGCACACTGGCAGAACCAGCCAGGCCCTGCGGCTGTGAGCACATGAATCCCCCCGCCACCGGCAGCACTGACATGGGACTAATGGTTTCACCAAGCCTCCTTGTGATCACACTCAAGTCTCCTCCAACTTTGGACAAGACAGCTCACCATAGATGTACAGCCCTTGTAGCAATAGTGGCTGCACTTCTGGGTGAAAACTGTCCTGGATATGGCAGGGATATTAGTGACAGCATAAAAAAAGCACTGACACTTAAAATTCAAAACAAAACAAAACAAAAAAACCCAAAATAAACTACCCTTATTATCTTTCTCATCTCTCCTCCAAATTCACAAATAGAATTTTTAACATAGTAAATTCAAGGCCTTGACTAAATCCTTACACAGAATCTACTGTAGATATGCTAAAGTTGGTGTGTTTTTGCTTAAAGAAAGCAGGAAGCATGATTTTTAAGAGTATAAGTGAACCCAGCATTTCCCACAATTTCTGTCATTGTAAGTAAAATGAAACAAAAATTATGGCTTCATAAGCACACATTTGGCTGGTGGTAGAAGAAACGGCATGTTCAGTAGATAACATCTTCCCCGAGAGCTCACTAAAAGCCAATGAGGTAATGGTGATGTTGCCAAACAAAGAAAAAAAATCAGTAAAGCAAACTCACAATTTTAAGATCAGGAAATTAAATAGAATCTAGAGGGTTTTGTCAGAACAGGCAAAGCCCAAATGCTGGCAAGAAGAAAAGAAACTGTTTAATCAATGAGTATATTATTCAAAATATTCTCTTCTCACATAAAGAATATGGCTGGCTTTGCTTGTAGCAATCTTTAAGTCTTTTGTTGAAAGCAAAATATGTTCAAGTTGTCAATTAGTAAGCAGTGTGGTCTGTACCCTGTGACCTTACAAGGTTGAACCACCCACTGGAAGGAGCTCTCCCAGGTGGAAACATACTTCCTCTTCCAGGACTGTTATCAGTATCCAAAAACTGTATGCACAATGACCTCAATAAGCTCTCTCTCTCTCTCTTTCTGTGTGTGTGTGTGTGTGTACATCTATGGGTGTTCACGTGGAGGAAGCATAGAGGAGAATGCTGGGTGCTCCTACCATGTACAACCTTGCTTCATCCTATTATGGTTCGAGTGAAAAAGCCCACATAGGCTCATGTATTTGAATGTTGGCTTCCCAGGTAGTAGACAGTTTAGGAAGCATTAGGAAGTGTGGCCTTGTGAAGGAAGTATGTGACTAGGGGTGGGTTTTGAGGTTTCAGTCCCATGCCAAGATCTCTCTCCCTCCTCCCTCCCTCCCTCTTTCTTTCTTTCTATCTTTCTTTCTTTCTTTCTTTCTTTCTTTCTTTCTTTCTCTCTCTCTCTCTTTCTCCATCCCTTCCTCCTTCTTTCCTTCCCTCTCTCTCCCTCTATATTTTGTATCAAATCTTTGCTCTCAGATATTGCTCCAAGCCTATACCGTCCTTCATGCTACCATGCTCCCAACCATGATGATATTGGACTAACCCTCTGAAACTGTAACCAAGCTCCTAAGTAAATGTTTATTTTTCCTGTAAGTTGCCTAGGTCATGGTGTCTCTTCACAGTGTTAGAAAGTGACTAAGATGCCCCGAGACAGGGTCTCTCACAGAACTTGCCACTAGTCTAGTGGCCAGGGAGATGCAGGGGTTCTTCTGTCCCCACTTTGCACAGCGCTGGGGCTACAGTTTATGTGAGATCATGCCTGGCTTTTCAGGTGAATAGTGTCAATAGTGCCAATCTGAACCTAGGGTATGTTTGCCCAGCATGTGCCCCTACTACCTGAGTCACCTCCCCAGCCCTGTCACGAAATTCTGGTCATGATATTTGTGTGGTATTTTCAGTGAGGTGCAGTGAGAGATATTTCCTCGGGTAAAGGCAAGATGGCATACGTTCTGTAAAAATACAAAAATAAATAAAAGCATCAAGTCAAAGTTGTATTTTTATTACCAAAGAATGGTAATTCTTGACAATGTTTTCGTTGTAAGAGTCTGCAGCTAACTGCCTACTCAACAAAGCCTAAATGGTATGATGTGGACTCAGTGGGGCTTTCCACCTTCATCCAATGTCCCTAATGCCATCTCAGTGAGGGTCACAGAGTTTCTGGATATAGCTTGCAGTGTCTTTGCATGCCGA